AAAGGGCGCAGTGCGTGTGGGGGCAACAGGCGAGAGACACAAGCAGCACAGCGGAGACGGGCGGAGGCTACACGGCCGCACCGCGCCACGCAGCCATACAAATGCACAGAGGCCCGCCGGCCAACCCAGCGCACCCCGCCAGCAGACAGCAGGGAGAGAGAGCACGAGAGGCGCAGCTGCGGCACCCAGAAGCAAGGGGGCCGTGAACCACTGGCGTTGCCTCGTCCCCTGCGCCCAGAAAGAGCGGAGAGGGCGTCACGGCACGTGTTCTCCCCGCAACAGGTTTTGTGTCATCGGCACTGGCAGCGGCCACCCCGTGAAGGCTCCACCCACAAAGGCGCCACACAAACATGCGAGAACGCAGCGCCTCAGCCCCCAAAGACGAGCAGCCGCCGGGAGTTGAGGGCCCAGGCGTAAGAAGACACGCAAAAAACACACACACACAAACACTAAACCCCGCCATTTCCCCAATATGATACGAAAAGCTTGGAAAAGAGGTTATACAGCTTGGTTTCCCACACTTCCCAGAAAACACTCAACGGCCTCATTCAAGCAAGCAGGAGCGAGCCAGAAGCAAATTCTCATTATTCATCAGCACTAGAGCAGGGACAAAATGGAAGTGCTGCAGGCGCCTATTAACCCGGCTCCCGCGCCCCCATCCGCAGGCTCCAAGTGCATTGCGCCACCTCCCCTCGAAATCACCTCCGCGGGATTGTGCGCTGAAGCCCCGTATGCCCACGTCGCATGCGTACGCAGCCCCCCGCAAGACTCTTTCCGAGGGGGCAGTTGGCCCCCCACACCGAAGCGTCAGCAGGCGCAGTTCCCTGACGCCCCCCACTTGCTTGACTATCGTGCCGCCGACGAAACTGCAGAGGGTTCCCGCCGTGTGCACCAGGAAGACCTGCAGGACAAAAGGAATGAATCGCACTCCTGCCTGCAAACCCACCCCTGGTGCGCCTTCCCGCGCACAGCCAGCGACCGCCGCTTCTCCCCCGCCTTTGCCCAACCCCACGCCCCACCCGCGCACGGACGCGTCTGCCGCCAACGTCGCGGAAGTGGGTGGCGCTCTCGGCGCTCCGACCGGTCCCCCCCCCTTCCCCCCAGTGATTTGTGGAGACGCAGCTGCCCCAGCTTGCAGGCGCGCTGCGGCAAACACGCCACACCATGCGGGCGCAACAGGCCCCAATACAGCCGTGACAGCCGTCGACGTGCCATTTTGAGGCAAAAAGTAATGACACGTAAAAATATCTTCCCCTCGCACGCCTGCCGCATGCATCACGCGGGGGCCGTGTGCCCCGCGTCCTCAGCAGACTTTATGCAATGAGACGGCACCTCCCATAGGTCTAATGGAGATTTTTTTTTTGAGCAGCACCCCGTCTCGGCGGAGTTGGGCTGCCTGCCCATCGATGACGTCATCTGGCGCTGGAGCGCCCGAAGCTTGACGCTGGCGCCGTGGTGCACCCGGAAGTTCGCGCCCTTAGGGCGGGCGGCGGCGCACGCGTAGCGGCAGTGCAGCGCTGACGCCCACCCCGGCACGCAGAGCGGTCCCGGCCACCGCACAGGCCCTGAGGGGCCCCGTGTCCCGCCGCAGTGCAAACGCGATCATGGAGCCCCGCACCGTCACCAACGCCGCCGTCCGACGCCGATGAAGCTCGGCGGCAAGTTCCCCCAAGCTGACGGTGCCCCCACGCCGGTCTTCCACCCCGCATCCGACCACGAGGCGTCTGGTGGTGATCGTCCCTCCCGCTCTAAAGAAAAAAAAAAGGTTGCTCGTGGACCCACCACCCCAACAGGTGCTCTTTGCGTTGCCGCTACAGAAACAGTTTGAAGAAAGATTTGACTCATCGGGGGTTTTCCCACGCCTGGGCACTCAACTCCGGGCATCTTTTTTCTGAGAAGACACGCAAAAAGCAAAAAACAAACGGCACACAAACACCGAACCCCGCAATTTTCCGATCGCGCACTCAACGGAGTAACAAAAACAAAGAAGCGAAGCACACACCCAGGCACATCCTTCATTGGCGTCCCAGCCCCAAACACACACATTTACGCCGCGTGCTTCCAGCCGAAGCACGCCCGCAGAAAAACGCAACAAGCGCAACCTGGCCGCACCACCACCACCGCACGAGGGTCGAAGGCGGGAAGTGGCAGACTCTACGGGGGCGCCAGCAGCATTTCTCACGTCGCTCGGCCGCAGGCACACGGAGCACGCACTCAGGGCTCAGCAAAGAAACAAGCAATACGTTCATAAAAATAAAAGAAGAGAAACACACTTCGTTCCTTAAAAAGACAAAATGAGAAAACACAGTTAGTACACGCATCAATCGCACAGCGGGTATATCGTATCTCCCGGGGCCCGTCGTATACGGGCGGGGGGCGACGTGTCGTTGCCGAAGCGCGCCATGAGCGCAGCGTAGTCGTCCTCCTGTACATGGTGGACACCCATGGAAGATGGCTTCACCTGCGAGTGCCCTGTGGCATTGCGCATATCATGAAAATGACAGGGCAGCACCTTCACGTAAATCAGTGGCTTGTACTTCACCTCCTGCAACAGCACACGGCCCACCATGGCGTCCTCGTACTGCATATGGATCGAGAAAAACTCTTCTTCCCGCTCCTTGGCGTACGGCAGGTAGACCAGGCGCTGCAGTGGCTTGTACGACACCAGCGCCCCCGCCACGTCTCTCGACATCGTGTAGCACCAGCCAACCATGAAGTTCACACCTAATGAGCGGTTTTGCACGCGAATCCCCGTCCCGGCATGAATCCCCATGTAGATACCTCGGCGCGGCAGAAGGCGCAGGTTGGCCAGGAAGAGCGGCACACGGAGGAACATGTCATCATCGCCCTTCGCAAGATAGCTGGCGGTGGGGAAGAGGCGGAGCGCAAGGTCAAACCACAG